CCCAGAATGCTTTGTGTGCAAATAAAATGGCTCTGTCCGTGTTAAAATATATATCTTAAAATGTACAAAACTAAACATCCTACAGTATTTTTACAGTCTTTATTTTACAGTTAAATTATATGTTTATCATATAAAGTCTAATGTTACAACTAATCAGGGATCCCTTTAAAACACTAGTCACGTGACTACATCTGCTCAACACTGCACACACTGCTCCATTGATTTCAATGAAGAAAAAAAGAGCAACCTTGGTAGCAGACATTAAGTCCATGCATGGACTTAATGTCTGCTTAAAACATTTTATCGGAAGTGAATGACCAACATAAGACCACCCAGATCCAATCCCTGCACGATCTGTCCTCAAACTGGTACAGTAAACCTTTTGTTCAGTAGCCCTAAAATTGACCAAGGGATTGTCATTTGCAAACATAGCTGTGGCAGCTGTTTTGGAGCTTCAAAAATAAACTAAAATTTGTTTGCAGTTAGAGTTTATGTTGGGGATTATTGTCAGCTACGACATACCTCAGTATCTCTAAAACTGTCTGCATTATACTGTTTTCAAAGGCAAATGTAGCAGCTTGAATCTTGAACAAAGAACTTAGCTTACTGTTAGCAGCAAAACTGGAAGTTTCTGTGATCTACTAGGATTGAGTTTCATTCATTTTTTATCTGTTGTAGACATTTTGAACAAAGAAGCTTAATAAACTGTTACTGCTACTTTCAGCTACAACTAAACCAAATTTTGACTCAATATCTCTTAAGAAGGACTGTTTTTCATATGGGTCCGTACAAACAATGCAAAAAATATATAATATCATGTACGTTTCTGCTCATTTAATCTTCAATTCTGGTTGGAAATAAAGCTGCAAAACTCAAATTTTTGTGCGACGTGTCCTGTTTAGGTTTTCCTTTGTTTCATGTCATGCATTTCTTTAATTAAATCTGTCGAACACGTTTGACTCAACGGCCAAGAACAAATACAGTAAATCCCCATCAAATCTCAAGCAATCAATGTACCACCTCAGAAGTGAATGGTGAAGAGTGGAAGGAAAAAGTAAAAGTCGAAAATCAGAAGACTTCAGAAATCTTGAAGAAGTGCTTTTTGAAATATTAAAAAGCAGTAAAAAGTGCTAAATATGCTGAATCATCAGATCTTCTTTTCAACAACATAGGCCTCAAGTTCTTATTTCTGGTGAAAGAAAAATATAAATAAATAAATAAATAAATAAATAAATAAATAAATAAATAAATAAATAAATAGGTGTAGTTGTTTCTGTTACAGAGTGAGGACCACTTGCAAAAATAATTATTATCAAAGTGAGGTCTTTGGTGTAAAGTGAGGACCGTTTCTTGGTCTAAACTTTTTTCTGCAGCTCTAATGCACTCAACTAGTTTTAGAGTTGTGGTGTGAATTAAGTTTTGTTTCAGGTAAGAGTTAGCCACAGACCAGTAATAGTTAGTGTTAGGAATGACTTCTGGGTTACGTAATAAATGCAGTTACAAAAATAAACGGAAGTCAACACAAAGTCCTCAGATTGATGCAAATACAAGAATGTGTGTGTGAGTGTTTTGCACAGGTTTTGCTTTCACGTTGTGTTATTGCAGTATTGTTTTTCCCTGTTGTTGTTTTAGCTGTTTTTGACCAGTATGAGCCTTTTCCTTAGTACCAATTGTGAAAGATGTGCGGCATGCAACGTCTGTCCTGTTTACTAACAATTCTTCAGTTGAAACATACTGTATATGTGCTCGTTTTCTTAAAAAGGAAAACGTGACTCAAATTTTAGGGTCATTTCTAGGTAACCTTTTAGTTTTAGAGGAATTTGGTTTTTTACAGCTGCAAAGCGTTTAAAACATATTTCAATCATTTAAAAGTTTTAACAACCTTATAATTGTTGACTCTGCTGTACTTGTTCCTTTGCACATGAGCTCTGCCTTCATGTCTCTGTGGAATAATTTACCAATACAAAACCTCTGATCAGACCTGGTTTTGATTTTATTATGTTATCCTGTTGCTTATTTTGTGTTTTACAATTAAACTCTGTTTCTTTACCCTCACTTTTCAAATTAATTTAAACATAATAAGATCTTATCATATTTTATGGGTTTGCTTAATTTCTTGCACCACTTTGGTTGAACTTACATGGTTTTAAATGTGATTTACAAATAAATCAACACTGACATAAACTGTGCATGAAAAGAGAATTTGATATTTTCAATAAATCAACATGTTTGATTCCAAATTAAAGCTTGATTGTTCTGATTCTCATAAAAGTAAATCAGTTTTCCTACATATTTTTGACCTTTTTGTATTGCATGTACAGTACATTGGTCTTATTGATAAAAACCCTATAAAAATAACAAGAAGCATTAAAATATGCTACTTTTTAATTCAAAGCTTTAATGCACTGAAACAAAAGTTTTAGGTTATATGATAGAAGGAGCACTGTTTGTGTCTGTTTACTCATTTTCTTACCATGAAGAAAATGTTGTGACTGATTAACTGAATTTTAGACAGTCTTATAATTTACACTTTGTGATCAATTATACTGTATATATAT